TGTGGTATTATCTCGAAAGGGTAGTAGTCTCTCTTTGATTGTATGAGTATGTACATTTAAGAATTCCGTCACTGTTCGTGCTTCGGCATCTCTTTCTCTCGCGGCAGCGACTCTTTTCTGGCGATTCCTTCTCAGGGGCACCCAGGAGGCTCGTCGGTACATTAACGCTCGTGCCCGGAGCTCGGTAGGCCTCCGTGGCGCGTGTGGTTGACGGTCAAAGTTGCGAAAACTGGCTCAATACCCCGGGGGCTCGTTCCGCGCAGACAAAGCCTAGCGAACCTATTCTGAAACCCCTGAAAAACGACAGTTTTTGAATTTTTTGCCTCTTGGCTATTGCATCTCCACGTTCATCCATTCATTGACTGATTCCACATCGCTGTGACTCTTCGTCGTGTCATCGCAACCTCCAACAGTTCCTGCGTTTGGTCTTCTACACTTGGCAGCGGGCCAAGTAAAACGCTGCTGCCGTAAACAAGGCTTAGCGCATGTACCCGCAGAGTTCAACATGTTTTGTTGTGGTGTTGTTTCGTAATCACAATCGGTTCAAATTGGAAATCTGCCATCATCAGTCAAGACATCTTCTAGCAGTCTGAGTTTTGTTTTCGTTGGCAATTGTTGTCCGCTCGAGCTGGTTCCACTGTAAAATAACCACGTGCGCGAGGAATACGAGCGTTACAAAACTGCTCATCAAAAGCAAGACATAACGGCCCTCATCGGGCAAATGCGCATGTGGTCTTGCGTCACCCGCCGGAGGCTTGACACCCACGTCCCGAAGGGAGATCTTGTATTCGAAGACTACTGTAGGAATAGAGTCGACCCCGCGGCTCAATACTCTTCCCTAGATACTACTATCGTAGTACTGTACCCACGAGCTACCCGCACATCCTGCTGTACATTGGACCGAAAAACGTGCCACAAATCGCCTTTCCGAGGAAAAAATAAGACGGCCTCTTGTCCGACAGTCAAGAGAGCATAGAACAATGCAGCAGCAGACGGCACGCAAAGTTGAACCCGCTTACGAACCACATAAATTAGCCCGTCTATTACTATTGTCTCTACAGGAACCGAACAGAGACAAAATACATAGGTTTTAGTGTGGGATTCTTGACTGACAACCTGTGCTCATGGCCAACTTCTCAAAATTTATGTCTTTTTTAGCCCCAACACCCAGGTTCTTAAGTACGGCCATCGCAAAATCCGTGTCAGAAAAATCCCTCCTTCTCTGTCATGAGATACATACCACATTTGAGTCCCAACAGTCCTAATATTTCGGACCAATGGTACCTCTTTCTCTCTGGCCCGTGATGCTGACTCCTACTCTCAGTTGTTACCTCGCATAGTGCGCAGAGGGAGCGGAGGACTCCAGAATATCTGTCGTTGATTTCTATTGACATGCGGACCCCTCGGGGCCAGTTCATTTGAGGGTACCTTTTAGGGTAAGTTAGCCTGTGACCACGGGAATCGACCGCGTCAACTGTTGGATCAGTACGGACATATGAAAGGTACTGGGTAGAGAGAGATCGGAACGGGTTTTAATATGAAGACAAAAACAACAACATACGCATATGATATATCTGATCTGAAATACGTATAACCTACTTCTAGCACGCACCTGTACCGCAGCCAAGGCGAAGTGCTGAGCCAGCTCTCTCTCCAGGTGGTCCGTGAAGCTCTTGTTCTCGACATCCTTCCTCAAAGCTGTAGTTTGTCGATTGTACCATCGCGGGTGCCCCAGGCAAGCGAAAACAGCAGTGCAACGAAACACGACAGATCGAGTGGAGTCAACGCGATCGAACGTGTTGTTTCAAAGCAAAGACTGGGTTTATACAATATCTCGAACGGGTACAGTCTTTTTGTGACATTATATTTACTTTCTATAGCTAAAAAAAAAACACCGACTTTTGTAGGGGGCACGCATCCGGACAAATCCAAAACTGGTGGAAATAACGAAATAACCCATATGCATACGAATAGGATAACTGCTGTTACTCTTGTAAACCTGCGATGATGCCCTTCTGTGCAACAAGCCCCCACACAGCAAAAACGCCACTTCATCCAAGTAAAAACACGCCGTCGGATAGCGCAGAGCGCAGAGCTTCAGGGACTGCTGCTGTCTCGTGTAATATCTCGGACGAGCTTGCATATCTGGCCGGTTTTCCTCGACGTCTTAACGTCCCTTTGCTGGACAGGGAACAGGAAACAGGGAACTCCCTGTTCCCTGTTCCGTGTGGTCGTGTCCGAACTCCTAGCGTACAACACATTTCCAGGAACACGGAACGTTTCAGCGCGCGCTTGCGGCCCGCAGGTACTCGAAGGCAACAAATACAACCATTGGACGCACAAAGACGAGTGGGGGGTATAGAAGGGAGGAGGTGGTGTAGGTTTTGAAGGAAGTTGTTGACGAGCGCACATCAAACACATGTGCTACGTATCGGCTAGAACAGGCGGTGCTCGCCATGCAATCCGCACCCTCGACAGTGCTCTGGAAGGCATGCTTTGTTGAGTTGTGGTCCATGGCAGCTTGCCGTCTCTTCGACACTTTATGTTCCCCCATACAACGACTTCACGCGCCTCCGCCGCCGTTTGTTCGCATGCGAGACACCTGACAATGGTGGCAATGCCTGTACGGCTTGAACCGGTAGCATGCAGCACCTGTGGCAGCCGCATGCCCGAGAGTAATCATACACATCCCACCACGTCCTGAATTGCCACCGAAGAGCCCGTGTTCCACGTTCCCTACGGTCTGTTGGCTAATTTAAACTCCTGGCAAATTTAAACTCCCTCGGGAGTTAAAATTGTGGTGCGCCGTAACTACCTCAAACAGGGAACGTGTGTGGCATTTCTTGTTTCCAGGAAAGTTATTTTGTGTGGCCGACCAATCAGGCAATAATTCCGAGTTCCCTGTTCCTTGTTCCCTGTCCAGAAAATGGTCGTTAGTACACGCCCTTACTGAAAAGACTCCACCACATCCCGTTCGAATGTGGGTATATCTCGAACGGGTAGTCTTACTGCTGTGCGTGTTTTTATTTTTCCTAATCTCTCTGCGAATGCAACAACTTTCTGATTCAACAGCGAGAGACGCTCGTCACAGCAGTTTTTTTCCCTTGCCAGGCGTGTGCCGCAACACCGCTGCCTCGCGAGCGAAGCCCCTCGAACGACTTCATTAATTAATAGTGTGCGGCCTACGGATTAAAGAAAGGTACCACGGCAGGTGTTGAGCGGGGGCGCGGGGCAGCGGTGTGCCTTGGCACCCGCGCTAAGCTACACAGCGGCCGACCGCCATCCGATTTTTTTCATCAGTAGAAGGGCACTACTGTTTTCGTGGGGCTGAGCGAACAGCCTCGCACCCTCTGCCTTCATCCTGTGATATGTACATCTACGGTACACCCTCCACCGTCCAGAAGAAAGGGGGCGTTTTTGTTGTTGCGTTTCCTTTGGTTATGATGTGGGAACATGGTGGGCTTTCGATCGATCGATTCGTTTGTTCGAAGCGCGTGTGACGAAACAAAAAACACAATTCAAATATAGCGTTTTGGGGACCATGTATACATAAAATGATAAGTCTAATAGCCAGCGCGCACGCGGCCAGCATCACCGTGTGTGGCCTGTAGCCATACGGCAGGAAAAAAAGTATTATAAGTTATGACAGTCATATCTGGCGCCCATTGCTCTTAATATTTTTTTCTGCCCAAAGACCTCCCGCCTCAGGCAGCTAACTCATGGTGTAATATTTACTCTGTAGCACAGCAGCAGCGTCGCAACAGCAGCAGCAGCAGTGCCCGGTGGTGATACGGTAGTCTTAACACGTGCGTCGTGAAGAAGCTCACAACGCACGCTTCGTACGGACGGTGGAGGGAGTCCTTTGTTCTTGTAGGCAGCAGGGCTGTGGGGCGCACGGAGCCACCCACCCACCCTACATGACCGCAACCGTACCCCTCTACTACACAGCTCACCAACTCACCAACCGACGACCGCATGAGTCCCTTTCCAATGTTCCATTACGGCACCAACATACATGGTTGATGCTTGTTCTACAGCAGTACTTTGGCGCACGCACAACAGCATCTGTGGGGGAGTGCCGTGCACCCCATACAACAGAAGCGGTAAACAAAAGAGAGAGGCTGCGTTGTCTGCGATATGCCATTAACCCCCCCATCACAGGTGGTGCCGCCGTTACCGATATTATCGAAGGAAGCCATTGAAAACAAACAGCACATGGGTACCGCAACATCGAGAGAGAAAAACGTGCCCGAAATGCGGCTAATTATCGGCTTTTCTCTCTCTCTCATGGCACACGCGTTGGCCCTGAGGCTTAGTAGCAGCTGCTTCAATGGAGGAAAAACTGAAAAGATGCCCGCCCACGTCGACAAGGCGGCGCCAATTTATCATTTTTCTTGCTGCTACTCAAGGATAGCACCAACCAAGAGAAATAGCAGAGAGGGCGAGGTGCTCTAGAAGCGCGTTATTTGCTAAATTGCGACGTCAAGAATCATTTGGCCATGGACGACCAAGGCGAAGGCCAGGAACAAACATCACACGTTACAGCACATTATCGACATCGCCCAACCAACCCTTTAGATGCATGCGCTGGGAAATGGGAAATCGGACCCACACGTCAATTCTCTCGCGGAACATACACTCTGTATGCACATAGCCATTTTTATCCTGTATGGGGATAAAACAAGCCGTAAAGACGCGCTTGCATGAAGTGCTGCTACGGGCGTCAGTCTCACCCCCCACTCCGCCACCGATATGCGCGTGCCTCGCCATGAGTGCCAGACGCATTACCCCCCCCTCCTCGTGTGTATGTAGCCATGCGGATTGAAACGTTGTGTAGGTGCACAGCAGCAGCCGGTTGTGATTGTTTTCGACCACTTCCTTTCCTAGATAAAGCCAAAACTACAAGGTTATTCTGCCGAGAAATAATCGCATGCACAGCACCAGTTATCTGGTTGTTTGCGGAAGGGGGTGTGTTCGTTGCCACACCTTTCCTCTTCTCGTCAGCGTCTGGTTGGCTCACCGTTAACGATTGGAGTCCCGTCCGCTGTGCCAATAAGAACAGCTCGCACGTTCGGTGCTCTGCAAATGACACACGAGCGAAAATCAACGTGCGCCGCGGAGTTGAGTACATGCGCAGTGCTACTGCCCGACCTCTCTTGCTGCTGCTGCCGAGAAAATCGTCAAGTCGGTAGGGTAAGTAGGTAGCGCAACGACTTTCTCGTACATGTATTCGCTCTCTCCCCGGAGTATTTACTGCCTGTCCTGCTGTTGCAGTCCCGTCCCGTCCCCCGCGCTGTTCCACTTCGGAAAAGCACATTGCTGCCAGGCAGCGGGGAGAAAGACTTTCGTTCTTCGCGTGAGAGTCTCTCATCGCGGCGGTGAGCTTTGGTCAAGGGGTGTACATGGATGCAGCAGCGGTGGGGGTACAGAACACAAAAGCCACTATTTTTACACCTACTTGTTGGCACAAAGTTTTAGAGCTACATATGGTACTAAAGTTCTAGAAGAATATACCCCCCCAACCAACACCACAGGCTCTTTTTTTTGTTGCTCCGCGCCCGTCGTCCCCGTGGCTGTGCCTTGGGTAGGCGGAGAAAACGGCATCGCGGGAGATAAGGGGAGCAGGGGCCAATCGGGCCGCCATGAACCCCTCTCCGCCTACGTCATAGAACGTGAAATAAGCAAACCTGCATCCAGCAACTATGTCACCCGCGGGAAGCGGGGCAGGCGTTTTACGCACATGACCAACCAGGAGAGTAATCTGTCATCTGTCTCATGTCTAGCGTGTATGCCAATACACCGGGCGTTTTTTTTTGCTCACCTTTGCAATATTTTCTGGCAGAACTCTTGAAGCCCTGGGCTCTGCGAGGCGGGAGCAGTATGCGCGGCCATGACGGGGGCGGGGGCGGCGAGCAAGCAGAGGGACGGTGTGGCGGCTCAGAAAGGAGGGTGCACGAGTGCCAACCAATGTTGGGTGGTGTTCTGCAGATGGTGTTGGCAAAAAGTGGCTGTGTCCTGATGCGCAGGGGATCAATATATTTGAGAAGAAACAGCAAGCAACGCATCTGGGGAAGACCAAAGACCTGACCAGGCGAGCAGAGGCCACTGGTAACCAACTCGGAATGAATGGGGTGTGTTTCGAACGCCTCGCTACGGCCCCCTTGCACCTAAGCCAGCAAGGCCGTGCCCCTCGCGCGCCGCGCTAGGGCATCCCGCTGCTCACCACTTCCATCGTCATCATCCAGCTGCAGCGTCGGTAAAACACTTCGTTTGTGTGGGGGCTGGCTATTGTATGTGGGACACACACGATTGTCGCCCCGCCCCGGGGGGGCACAGCATTAACAGGAGGGACTAGGAAGTACTTGAAGAGAGGTTGCGTGGCCCCCCGACAGTTGGCAGCAACAGCAATGCAGCACAACAGACGAGAGAGGCGGCTGGGCCGCACCGCAAAATACATCAACCAACGACAGGCAGCAAGACTAACAGCGGCATGGCGATCGCGGGAGACCCGGTGAGATGCCTCGACGGGAGTGTGCAGTAGAAGTGTCGAAAAAATAATCACGTCTCACACAGAGTTGCAGGGCAATTTGAAAAATGAAATCATCGGCCGCCGAGGGCCTGTTTTGTTTTGTTTGGTGCCGACCCCAGCTGACGGCGGGAGGATATCTCATCTTCATCTCCTTGATCCCTGCTGTCTCTCTGTCTGTTGATTGGACCATTCCTCCTGCTGTTCGGGTGCCAATAATCCTGTAAATGATAATAAAGCTCTGGGTGCGAAGCTACTGCGTTATGTTCTTGTGCCTGCGGTAGGCACTCAAGGCTGCGTAACTAACACCGTCCGTCATTCGCGTACCAACACTTCCGTGAAGACAACAACAACACTAACAACTTCCTCGCGCAGTCCGGACCCCTATGCTATGCATAGCCCGATACATGATACAACAATACAGGCGACTCTCCGAAGGCGACAACACCCGACGCGTAGTATGCAAAAAATACAATATGCGTATCAAACAAAAGATCAACGGCTTCTATAAGATACCACACCACCATAAGTATATCTGGGGTTTGTGGCGCGGGATTGAATCGTACAGCAGTGTGGCAAGTACGGATTTTGGAATTTTGGCGAGAGAAGGAATGATTCATTTTCCATATATATTTTCGGTGTTCCAGCAAGTCCAGCATCTGTATTTTCGTAATATTGAGAGCAGCAAGATTTCAATAATTTGAACCAAGGAGAAAAAATTAATTGCCATTTTGGGACATTTTCCTGATTCATTTCATATTGTTGGCGTTCCAGCAAGTCCAGCATCTGTAATTCGTAATTTTGAGAGCAGCAACATTTTGAAATTTTGAACCAAAGAAAAAATGAATTGCCACTATTGGACATTTTGGCACCGGCCCACACGCACATGCTACAAACAAGTAACTTCTGCTATATTCATACTAGAAGAGAACATACGTAACTGCTGTGGGATCCAAGTATCCAAGTCCCACATAATGATTTTAGAGGCACATTGGGTGCCGGGCAGGCTTTGTAGCCCGCTGTGCGTAACAGGCCAGGGTTGGTTGGTTGTGGGCTTTTCTATAAAACCTTGTAGTGGTCAGGGTCAGGGGTTCGAATCCCGGCGCGAGCGAGCTCTTCTTGTAAAGTGTGTTTTTCTCTCGCTTCCGACTGGCCTGTGGGTGGAAAGCGCTATTTAGTTCGTGTGTACACAGAGGGAAGAGAGAGATTGTTGCACTCTTCTCTCATGAAAAATCGAAGGCACAAGTACCGCGGGCTAGAGAGGGGTGGGTAGGGAGCCTCAGGGAGAGAAAACCTACTGTCTGTGTGACTACGGGCCGGAGTAAAGAGCACAGACAGGTGCGTTGAGTTCTGATTGTTGATGTCAAGACAAAAAGAAGAAAACTTGAGGTTGTTGTGTTGTTGGTGTTGTTGTCTTCGCATGAAAAGCCGTTCCTTCCGTTCTCTCTGCCCAGTACCTTCTTCTGTCCATACTAGTCTAACACTTGACGGGGTCGATTTCCGTGGTCACAGGCTAACTTACCCAAAAAAAGGTATACGAAAATAAAATGGACGCGAAGGGTCCGCAAGCCAATAAAAGTCAAGGACGAGATCTGGTCTAGGCCACTCCGCTCGCCTTTTTTTTTATTTTTCTTAACCCCTTTGGGTCTAGGCTGGACTGTCAGATTTTTTTTTTGCGCCAAAAAAAAAAATGAGAGCGAGAGCAAGCGGGAGAGGGAGAAGTGCAGAGAAAGACACCAGTGTACTTCTGCACACGCAACAGCTATCTCCACCTGTAGGCCATGAGAGAAGCCGGCGGGGTGGTGGCCACAGACAGGGTCGTAGAAAGGTTGATGGGTGGTCGCGCTGCGGTCAGTAGGGCAGGTTAGCTGTGTAGTCTTTGAAATGATCAGTCGTCAGGCTGCCTCAACTAGTCTATTTTCGGTATATTGTAAATGATCAGTCCAGAGAGGGCAAAATGATCAGTGAAGACCCATAGCTGGTATTTGTACTTCTGTACTTCTCTGTTCTCTGTCCCCCCCCCGAAATGTGCCCTGCCAGCTCTCTAGAGCTCCTGTGTTTTTCAAACAACAAGCACATCCACCAGCACACACCTGTACCTCGTGGTTTCCTAGGTTCCGGCGAGGGTGGTATGTGTGGCGGTACGAGTGTGGATGTATTGCTGATATGTTTTACTCGTCTACAGCAATAGTAGTAGTGTCGTTGTAGCGTTCGTTGTAGCTGCTGACACAATGACTGCTGGATCTTGGGAACGATTTTCAAATTGTTGGGAACCAACCACGATATCCTCGATATCTGGACTTCGGCAGGGATTGCGATATCCCTCCCTTTTGCTGCCCTCTGCTCTTTGCAGCAGTGGTTTCCTATACGCTCGGGCGAGTGCATGTGTGGTGCTGCGAAAGAACACATACGTATGTTTGTATATGCACACACGCGTTCATGTGCATACGTTGAGAGATTCATGATTTGGCATTGATTGGCCCCATTCCCATCCCGAGACCTTGATATTGCCCGCTGTCACTGAAGTCTCTTCATTGGTCAGCCGGTTAGCGCGGGTGCTAATAATCTAGACACACCTACCTATGGACTTGCCACTATACGGCGCGAAGGGCTGCAGGGCGGCAACTTCACGACTTGCCACTACACCAGCATTTGCAAATGATCAATCAATGATCAGTGAGAACGCCTGAAGACTCAAAAGGGTTAATATGACACAACGAATCCATCTCTATCATAGAAAATAGTCTGAGACAGATTAGCAATGAATTCATAGCGTCAGAAAGTACCTGTGTCTACGGTTTCCCAGACAGCATATAGGGACATCTCCCCTGCGGGTAACAGGCTCAACAAGACAGTTTGGTAGCTGTCTTGTGTGTCTCATATATGTTATGTTGGGAAGGTGTAGAAGAAATGTGTTAGGTACTGGTCGGGCGTTTTGTGTGTGGCACCCTTGTTGTAGTCGTAGGGCATGTAATCTCCCTCAGTTTTCAAACGTATTTTCAATGCTATGCGAGGTAATACTAGATTGGAAAAAGAAAGAAAAAGAAAAAGATAAAGACATCGGTTTCAACCCACTTACTGAAAAAACTTCACCACATCCCTTTCGACTGAGGTTATATCTCGAACGGGTAGTCTTTCTGTGAGGTTATGTTTACTTTCTAAAAAAGAAAGAGAAAAAGAAAAAGAAAAAGAAGAAGAGAAGAGAACAGAAGAAAAAAAAGAAAAAGGCGCGGTCGCGCCGGGGAGTTTCAGTTGGTAAGCTCGTCAAACCTGCTTGTGTCTGCGTTGTGGGTTCGAATCTCTCCAGGAGTCATCAACTCGCAATTTATTGCAGGAGAGCGTTGGCCGTGGGTATATACTACGAGGGACAGCTATACACAACTCCGTTCGTCAAAAAAAATATTTCAGGAGCCACTTTTTATATTTCGTTCTTTTAGTTTGATATCAACCACCTACTACCGGTTGGAGGGGAAACAAAAAACTCCTGCACGACCCCGGCTCGGTGATGACCGGCGCCCAGAATAGATGAGGGGGAACAAAACGCGCACACACGCGGAGGCAAACGCGCCTCAAGCCAAGCGGTCTTTGGAATCTACAGGACCATATCTCGCCATCAGAGCTTGCGTGGGCCCGAAAATCGTGATGCCGAGAGTCAGATTTCATTGATAGTAGATCTTTAGGGCCGGTCTTAACGCAGGAATCACATCTCGAAATCACATTCAGATTTGGTTGTAAGACCGGCAGATCCAAAGAACTCTGTTCTTGATTGGGCAAAAAGTTATTCCGCCGGTCTCCTCTTTAGGACTTAAAACAGGACGACCCAAAACCAAATCGGGCTTTGAAAAAAGGTGAAATCATTTAATCAGATCCCGGTTTGGGTGAACCGAAACCAAGTTCGAACATTAGCGGTCTACTCGCATGCACGGCGCGTGCCCACCTAGCCCCATCCACACGAACTCCATCCACCGCCGAGCACAAAGGAGGGAGAGGGCATAAAAAGCCAAGCCAAAGGGAGGGTGACTGCGCATCGTTGTTGCACGTGACTGGCGCCGAAGAAAAACGTGTGTGGAGTGTGTTGGTCTGTGGGGCAATCTCCCGTGGGTTGTCGAACCTCAAATTCACAGACAAGTTGGTGGCTTTCCGTCGGACGAGGCTCGATTCAAAGTCTCACATGCATAGACATCGTGTCAGTACCGCACAGAGGCCATGTTCGCGTTGGTGTGTGCTTCTCGGGAGCGATAGCTCCTCATGTGGTGTGGCCACGTCACAACAGCATGTCACAACAGCAATCTGGTAGTTGGCAAGCGGCGGACCTCTCGGGTTGTTCACAATGGACTGCAGAGACTCGTTTCCACTTGGCAGATCTGCCGTCAAGACACACAAGTCATTTCCGTCCGGATTTGGGTAGATCCGACTCTTGGTATTCTTATATCGAAATGTGATCTCGAGATGTGATTTCTTCGTTAAGACCTACCCTTAGGACAAACGCGTTCTGATTGGTCGGGTGTTCGGCGTTGGTTAGGGTTAGGGTGAGGGTTAGGGTTAGGGTAGATGTGGGGTGAGCAACCTAGCCTTGCTCGCGTGAAGAACCTAGCCTTGCTACGTTCAACATCGGTTAGTCCTAAAGAGTTACTATCAAAGTGTAACCAAGGCTCATTCAGGCGTTCCCTCGATTTCAAGCAAGAGGCCTGCATTCTCTGAGCGGTCTGCGGGGCGGGAACTGGGCCCAGGGCCGAGGGCAACCATATGTATATATAGAAAAGAGGTCTGTCAGCGACCCTTTGAGGTATGAACGGATGTTGAACCGTAGCTCCGAACACGGGATGTGTCACACACCGTGGCCGACCCAACCCATCCCTAATCCTTACCCTAGCCCACGGACAACGGGCGGCCGATAACTTGGCGAGAACGCGGCTGAACGCGGAATAGAAGATAGGGCGCTGGAAAGTAATCGACCGCCCGAACCAACGCTCGACCAATCAGAAGACATAAAGGCCCATCCCATTCTCCATGGGAAGAGCCACTTCTGCGACACTTCGCCGTGTTCCACATTTTGTAACACACGACATTGCGGAGGGCTTCTCCCCGATATTTTTGTCGTTGACCCCGTAGGGAACTGCAGGGGATGTGTTGTAGAATGTTTGCACCTATACAGATGCTTTCGTTCTTAGCACCAGCTGGCATCACTGATACAATTACAATTCATTCAGTGTAGGCTTGAACAAACTCATATGCTAAGAAGCCCAGTTTCCAGCCGCTTTCCCTCCGCTCACTCAAAAGACTTCAGCGCATCCCTTTCGACTACAGTCGTGGCTCCGTTGCAAGAGGGCACCTTACAAGAGGGGGCTCCGATGCAAGAGGGTCGAAATTGGTTGTCACGGGCCCGACTCGCTATAGTAGGGTTACCCTCTTATACAGAGCCCGGACCCTTTATAGTGGGGTCACCCCACTATAGAGGGGGGTTACCGCACTATGAGCGGGCTTGTGAGTTAGGTACTGTCGCCTTTCACTCACAAACAAACGCACCTTCCTCACAACAAACGCCGCAGGAAGAATAGACCAGAGAGGAGCTGCCAAGGAATAGTGGTGTTTTGGTGAAACTGGCGGCAAATGCACGGAGGATGATGCAAAGATGATGAAAGCACTCCGAAACGACCACATGTGCAAAGTAGCAGCCTTGGGTAAACACGTGCAGCTCTCTTCTATTTTATTGCTACCGTCTCTATCTTTAATCTGGAGAGTAGCTTAGCCCCCCCCCATTGCACCCCCTCATGGGGTCCCAGACCTTGGCCTTTCGAAACACTTTCTTCTGTGTTAACCGCACTGAGACTGACGTGTTTTCATTGGTTAGCTGGTTAGCGCGGTCGATGCAAAAAAAAAAAGTAAGGTACGATAAAACACACACGAACACACACATCGCGGCGCTACGTAGAAGCAGGGGGCTGTCTGTGCTCGGCTAGAATTTCGTTCCGTTAGCATACGGTTCAAAACCTGCAGCGCAGACAGACCTCAAGTAGTTCTCCTCTAAATAGATGTGGGCAATGTGTGTATGTTGGTGTGCGCCAGGGGCCAGGGGGAGGTAGATAGACCGTTTGTTGGTGCAATACAACACTTCCTTGTACCGTGTGTACATGCAGTTTCTCATGGTCGGAGAGGTATCCAGGAATTTGTAACATGCCGTTAAACTCTGTAGACTATGCGTTTTAAAGGCATACATGAACATGCACTTTACCCTCTAGTCAAATGGATGCGTCAACTGGGCTGCGAGGCAATTATTCTCTGCAGATGTTTCCACTCCATGAACTAAATACAAAACGGAAAGAGTTGGAAAGCGTCGCCGATACGATCACAATCACCCGGCTTGCTTTGGGCGTGTGAATTCGGGCAATCAGCCCACCACACGTGCTTTAGGTTGGGGCACCAACTACAACCTGGGGGGGGAGGTTGCGGGAGGTTGCAGCCCAAAGTGTGCACGTTATCCCGCATCTTGGATAGTGGCGTTATTCCAATCAACACGGTGGGCTGCAAGCCTGAAGAAAAAATGGGTTGAAGGTCGAACTCGGCCTCCCAACCTCCCCCCCCCAGGTTGTGGTTGGTGCCCAACCTGCCCCTCTGGCCACCAGTGTACACTTCACCACACTACTACATGCTTGCACATCTAGTCTACACGGCATACTGGTACGCTGTGCCGCAGTCAAAGTGCCTTTTTTGCTCTCAAGATTTCGCAATTTTCCCTGTATAAGAGGGTACCCTACTATGGAGCACCCTCAATACCCTCTTATACCGATACAAGAGGGGGCTCCGATACAAGAGGGTGGAGAGCCATTGTCACACCACCCTCTTATAACGGAGCCACGACTGTACTTGTAGTTATATCTCGAGCCATTAGTCTTTCTGACTGAGAGATTATGTGTGCTTTCTAAAAACGCCGTCATAACCTGGGGCTCCGTGGTATTGCTGTTCCAACCGTGCAAGAAAAGTTGTGTTCCCGTCTCTCAAAATTCATCATCCTACATAGATACGTGTGGGCCGCGAAATTCAACACACGTCCAAAAGTCCCTCATAGGCGTGGGCCGCGTTGACGACGGTGTCTTGATACGAAGTACTCCCTCTGTTGACTCCTTTCCCGCAGCATCCCGGAAACGAGGTTTTCGGAGGCCGAGACGGTGCGATCGAGAGGGAAAAAAATTGAGCACATGCGATGTGGTATGCATACGTATTGGCTTTCACAACCAGAGGGGGAGACTTGCCCTGGGCATGCCCACAGCCCACAGCCCACAGCCCCCTCCCAAGCAGTCTCAGGTCATCCAGACGAGGTGTACATGCGCCAGAGCTGGCGAGCGCGAAGCGCGCTGCAGTAGCTCGGTACGGCGACCTAGGCCTACTCACTCAGCAACAACCTAGCTTGGGGTGTGCGTGTGGGATGGGGTTAGGGTTTAGAGGTGGGCTAGGCCTCGTGAGGCCTAGCGCCGTGGTGTAGCCTGAGGGCTGGAAACCTGTCGATAGCTTTTGGTTTCGTGTCTACCTCCGACCACAACTCAAAAATTGTTGAACTGGCGAGTGCAAGAAAGTCGCCCGCTTTGGCGTATATTCGCCTGTCGGCTCATCTTGGCTCATCAAGAAAACGATCCGCGTTTCTCATGACCATTTGTGCGGGTGCGTGGGAATAGGATCTTCCAGACGGAAAAGTCGTGGGCACACCGAGACATGGCTATAGACGCGTCTGTTTTGCGATTTGAAGCTGCACTACAGAAGGCGAAAAACATCGGCTCGTGTGCGTGTGTGCGACTTCAGGGTATCGCAGCCCACGTGTACATCCTGCAAAAGCGGAGACTCCCCCTACCGATTCCGGAACTCTTGCTTGGACGACGCCGATTTTCTCGTACGATCACGTCCTGGAGGAGCACCAAGACAAGAATTGGATGATATTCGCCCGACTCATGATAAAGCATAAGTCGGGGTGAAGATCATCCAGTTCTTGTCTTTGTGTTCTTCCAAGACCTGCTGGTACGCGGAAACTGGGTCACCGTAGCTCCAAGTCCGGAATCGGTAGGGGCAGTCTCCGCTCCCGCCAGGATATACCCGATAGACCCATGGGTTTGACGGGCACTTGGTTTGAGAAGCTACCATTGTGTTTGGTCTGGGAAAAAGACTGCGACCCAACAGCAGTTGTACGATGCCGCGAGAGATGTGAGTTTAGCTCCCTTCGTGGGGCCCAAACAGGGCAAGAAGCGGTGAATCCTCGTGGTTTTGAGCGTATTCCCGGGGCTCCATGAAAATAAAGTCTTCTCTGTGCAAACCTCTCAAATGCAATTCCAAATCTAACCGTTCATTTCGTTCGTTTTTTTTGTTTATGGGCGAAACGACTACTGGACCATTTTCTCGTGTGTTTTGGACACCCAAAACTCCAAATAATATCGCTGGGGTATAGTTATCGTGTCACTCATATGCTACGCAGGGAAGCCACACATAGACAACAGCAGTATCCCAACCCTTAAATGTTTATTGTTGCACCTCCTCCCTCACAGTTCTTGGCTCCGCGCTCAGACCCGAACATCATCTTGGCAGAAATTCGGCGGCAGCTGTTCCACCATCGAGGCGCGGGCAGGAAAAATGTCATCGAGTTTCAAGGTGTGTTACCCGATTGTATGCTTACGTTACGTTACCCGATAGCAGCCTTGTCTTGGCACACGAAACGAGAGAGAGAGAGAGAGTTTCTGCCCAGTGGCTTTGGGTGAGCGCCTCGCACACCGAAGCGCCCTCTGTGTTGGTTGCGTACGACTTACCATAGGAGGATTCTTTGAGCCCGGCAACAAGCTGGCAGTTAACGAGGGATTTTTCATTTCCCTCCCACGGCTCCGTGTTGTCGGAGTCCACAATACAAGATGGTGAGCTTCTTCCCCGCCCATGCCCTGATCATCGTCACGATATGGAATGCCTCTGTAACGTGACTTCTCCTAGGCATCAGCAGCAGCAGCAGCAGCATAACCAACTGCCCTCACGCAAAGCACGGGACGGTTACTTGAGGTTTGGGTTTGAGTCCGGTGGTTAACGGTAGATACAAGCTTGTTTCATTTCAGCACGTTTTAGCAAGCAAAGGTCGGCAGTCAACTGCTACACAAGCACATCGCGGGAGCAAGGCGTTTTTAGAGCCAAAGAGTGGGTAGTGTGCATATTGCGAGCGGTATCGGGGAGTGGTTCGCTAACAAGAGTCCAAGCGACAGCCAACATTTTCGCCTCGGCACGAGACGGCTTAGGGTACGCAGAAGAAATACAGCATGTCATGGTCATGCCATGCCATCTAATCCGCACTCGTGACGAGGTAGATGATGGTGTATCAGCCACTATTTTTGCGGGCATTTGATGCTCGCACTCGGGTCTTCGTTCGAGAAAATCTACTACCCCGAACTCCACCCGCCCGTGCCAGAATCTGCCTTTGTGTGGGCTGTCTGCATGTAGGTACCGCGGGAAACCAGCTTGAAGACTGCCTAACATGAAGGTCACCAGCGTAAGCGTTTGCCCGCCCTATATCAGTCGCGTCGCAGGCAGCGTTTTTTTCCCGCCGGAGCGGTACAATCCTTTTCGAAAAACTGCTCCAGTCCAGGCCGTCATACCACAACCTCGCGGGTAGCCGCTCCTTCCCGTAACTTTTTGGCGCGAAGAAAGAACAAGTCTGCCCCATGTATTTTGGCGATTGTGTCTATCAAAGCGAACAACAACGCTCCGAAAAGAAAGCTGTCACACCTACGGTGTATGTAGCGTGAGATTTTTCATAGATGAAGGGCCTACCAGATTTGTTTCGAACGATGACATCTTTTTCGCAGCAGACGTTCTGTAGTCGGTTGCCCAGATCGCTTTTCGCAGCTTATCGCTCTTGATGCCTCTACGACCCACGATTTTTTTCTACGGTCAACGAGTACCATGGAACAAGCACAATTGAACCGGTTTCGGTTCCATTGAGCGCCGTCCCTGTATTCTGGGAGACACGAACGCTGCAACACAGCCGCCGTTTACGGAACGAACCGCAGCCCAAGGGGAAACGAACTGACCTTGCGCGTTTTGTTGGGTTTCACCAGAGGCCTTCAAAGCTTGGGATGGAGACGGAGACCACATGCTGAGCCACTTCGAATTTGAAAGGGCGCTGTGCAGGCGAGTTTTCTTCTTTTTTTTTTGCACCAGCCGGTCGGTCGGTCCGCATTGCTGCGGCAGGTTCCACCGGTGGTTGGGTTTGGTTCGTGGACTCCCGCCCCGGTTTGAGGGCCCCCGAGAGAGTGGCAAGCTTGCAGATTTCGATGGGGCTCCTCGATGTGTGAAAGCTGCGCTTCTCGCGGATTCGTAGGGGAAGAGGTTGACGAGGGGGGCGCACAGAGTAGTAGAGGAATGAGCGTGTGTGGCCGCTGTGTGTTTGTTGCGTCAGCGTCGACCGCGTCAACCGGCTGGCCAATGAAAATACGTCAGTCTATCGTAGCGGGATGAAATGCTCGAACACTCTTTCTAGTCAAAGGGTTCTACCACCGACAGGGGGAGGCGCAGGAGTTGGACGACAACAGCAGTAGTGTGCTGCTTCTCAAGTACAAGGAAAAGACTCAATGCCCCCCAAGCGGTGTGGTTGCTGCACCGTCTGCTTATCTCATGCCGGCACCATTGCCCTGTACTTGGTTTCTATCGGGCTTGGCTTTGCGCCAGGTGATTGGCTACTATAATACGGTTCTCCCCCTCCTTTCTGCAATATCCATCGGAAACCTTTGTCGTATAAGTGTATTCATGGCTGTCAGACTACACGTGGTAGGTATGTATGAGAAGGCACCAGCCGGGGTCACACAGGAGCGTTTCACGACGAGACTGTGGCAGTGCAGTCACAGCGGTCGATAGGTCTTACTTCCATAGATCTTGGTCCTCTGTCCGCACAGCCGCGGTAGGTGGCTATGCTTTACCGTCCGTGCCGCTTTGTGAAACTTGCCTGTCGTGTCCATTCGCCCGTTGGTGGAATCGCTGAATACATTGCTGCAGATGCGGGATCTTTCTCCCTGTTCAAGAGGTAAACGCGCTCTTCCGACGGTTCGACTCAAGAGGGGATGGCTTCGCCGATGCTGAGGTGAGAGGGGGGGGAGGGGGGGGGGGGGGGGCTGGGCGTGTAAATAGGCGAGGCCGTTCAGGTGCGTTCAACCCGCAGCGGCCCGTGGGCTTGGTCAGTTTAGGACAGAGGCAGTTTTTTTTTTGTCTTGTTATTCAGGCCTCGTGACGATTGGAGCTTCAACCGGTGAAACGCTTGGATGTTTGGACGTGGCTTAGGTGCGACCGACCATGGGTGCGCCCGGAGCTCGCGACACCACAGGGCTGTCGATCGAGCGTCAGTGTAAGCGAACCCGGCGGAGTAGCTTCCCGCTAACTTAGTCTCAACCAGAGCAAGGGCGAGTTTTGCAGCTGGAGATTTGAGATTTGTTAGTTCGGCGGCGGGAAGAAGCAGTTTACATATGCAAGACCAAAAATCAACCCGAGAGGAACACCACGCTTGGATTATTCGTGAAGAAACGCACCCGAAGCCCCTTCTCTTGTGTTCTCGTTCCGAAGCTGGCTGACCTTTTCTCCCGCTCCCGTTGCCGCCGCCGGGGCCATGGGGTGCGTGCCTTTGTCAACTTCCTCACAGGGAGCCCTCTCGGCGTTGCGCGTGCCTCTGAGCAAGCGTCGGCTTGCCGTTGTGGATGCCGCGTTTTTGTCAATAGCTGCTGCTGCTGCTGCTGCTGCTGCTGCCACTGCTGCTTCGACAACGGCGGCGGCGGATGTCACCGCACAGCGCGGCGATGGCACAACCAGTGCGGTGTCGCTAGGGTTAGTGGAGGCTGTGGGCCGCATGAATGCGGACGGCCACCCGGAGGTGGCTGCCGGGAGAATCGGTCCGCAGGAGGTACAACGCAACGGTCTATTGCATACTACTCCGTGCTCTTAATATGCTTCAAATTATTTGTCTCGACGGCGAAAAAATCGCGGGAGTTGGATGTTTCGTTTGGGGACTTGTCGAAATTTAGTTCTTTCTTGAGCGCTTGTGTTGTGTCTGGCGCCAGCACTATTCAACGGGGCCTTATGTGCCGCCTTTTCGTATCGGGGAAATGACTCCGACACTGTTAAACTGTGGCCCCGTGTGTGAGTTGTCCTGCGGCCTTTTCCGGCGTACATTGTCTCCGATATGTGCGTGCTTTTTCGGTCGGGACCGCGCCCATCGCTACTGCCTGGGCGTTACTTATTCGCAACTGTCGGACGAAAAAAGGCGTTGAAAAGAAGGCTCAGCAGCAGTTGATCCAAAGGCAATTGCACCTTTTTTCTTTTGTCGTTTGAACTCACGCACACAGCACCACTACCGCTGTGATGGGCCTGTGTCAGGTGAAAGACGATTTCTGCGAGTTCTTCATCGACCGAGCGGGTGAGAGAGGAAGCGGCGGCGCGGCCGCGGGTGCGCTGGCGGTGTCGCTGGAAGGGTTCAGGGAATACTATCGAGATGTTGGCGTTTGCGAACCGTACGACACGGTCTTCGTCCCTATGATCGAGGTGGGTATGGTATGCTGGAAACGATGCGCTATATGGCCCTGTGCGGGCGGTAGCCGGGTAGTGTGCGGCAGACTACTGCGTCTGGACCGTTGTGCTGGCCATCCCGCGTTTGCTCGCATCGGTGGGAACACCCGCTGTGCGGCGAATCCGGCCGGTGGGGACGTGTCTCCGTTTGAGCGACCCCTAAATAGCTGGTACCGCGATGTTGTTTGGATGGACGGCGTAGATCACTCAGCTCGGCGGCAGTGGTGTGGGTGGTTGACGGCCAAGGCTCTACAGACACGGCGGGATGAAGATCGTGCTGGCTTGTCCCGAGATTATGCCGCTGAGCTTCGAGGGCGGGGAAATAGGCACGCGCGCTTCGCGCTTCGGAGGTATTCCGATGCGCAGCTCGATATGCTCCCGAAGAGCTTTGAAAGAGGGCAAGAAGAAACGAGAACAGCCCGAACAATGTCACGAACATGCCATCAAGAACGGCGTTGCTGAACATCATCCTGCTCTATCGCTGTTGGTTGGTTCTTCCCGTGGCTGCTCTCCGTAGACCTTGCTTCTCCACTATTTCCTAATCGGAATCGAGCAAGGCGAGGGGCGACACACAAACGACGAGTTGTAGCTGCCGTCGTGCAATACCCACTGACGAAACTTAGTTGGGGCGCTTCAGGAAGCCACATTGCAGAGTCAAGAGCAGTGGAAGTTTAAGTATTGCCGGCATGCTTATAAGCTTGCTTTTCCTGGATCTTCGTGGAAATTTTTAAGATAAAGGGCGAATTTCTCGGTGTGCCCGCGCCAGGCCCTGTGGGGAGTGCGAGAGCCACATCCTGGGGACAACAGGCGCAGTGAGCTGACGAAGCTCTTGCTGCCCAAACTCAAGCAGCACTCTCGTGGGGCCGAGACTACCGGGGAGGTAAGCTAGCTGTAGCTGTTCACATCACGACCTCGGGGTGACTCACTGGTCGTCGAAGCCGTCAACCGTGTTGTCATATTTACCAGCTCCTCGGGTGACCCATTAGTCGTCGCAGCCGTCAACGGTGGTACCTAACACATGTCTTGAGCGCGCGCGTTGTTCCTCTCGGTACCTACATGTTGCGGGTCTCGCTTGCCCGCGTATACGGCGCGCAATGCATGGATGAAGTCGAACGCACCGTGACGCGACCAGTTATGTTGTGGTGCGACGCAATGTGTTGTGGCGTTTTATCACGATTTTGCGGGGCTCCGCTTGGATTTCATGAATGATTTGTTGTCGAGCAAACCGAAGCGTGTACGGTATTGCTGTACTCTTTGACACGTTTCTCGTCGATTTTTCTCTTGTGGGTTGCACCACGCGCCACGTCAAGCGGAAAAGGCACGGATAGACCGTGTGGCAGAACAGCTGCCTCGTTCATTGAGACGATAGAACCGCCAGGTATTTCAGGAACCACGCTGTCCTTATACGATTTGCCGTATTGCCGGCGCGAAGTTTGTTGCTCGTCAACCCCTGTGGCCTCGTCGACACTGACGTACCTCCGTTTCCAAGGAGCTTGTCGACAAAATACATAGGCCCCTCTTATCTGTTGCTGTCTTTGGTGTCAGTACCCAACCCCAACCTTCTCTACACGCACGCCAAGGACCATTTGTCTCATATGGATCACTGGCCTCAGACCCACCCAACACCCCGTCGTGATTGCTGTGCTTTCGCACGCGTGCTCCGCACGTACCTATGCACGCGGGGGCGAAGGTTTTGAGGAAGACCCTGAGGTACTACAGCGAAGACGACAACGGAGAGCGCGGCGCCAGGCACGGCGGCGGCGCCAGGCACGGCGGCGGCGGCGGCGGCGGCGTCGTGGGCCCTTCGGGCGTGGAGAGGTCTCTCAACAGCTTCGGCTTGTACCCGGATAAGAGGGAAGTCGAAGGTGCGTAGCTAGCTAGTGCTCTACCGGGTCCAATGACAAGTCGAATGGGACCCGTTTTTCGCCGCGTCTCTGGTCGCTACGTACTACTGTTGTTTTACCATCTCGGTAGCGTAATTCTACAGGCGTTTCCTTTTTCGTGCCCTTCCTAGCCCTCTTCTCCACATCGGTGGGTGGCCCTCCCGTCAAGTGAGCGTTAAACCGTCTACTCCCGTTCCACCCCCGCAAGCCGTTTTTTTTGTTAACTCCCTCGCGGCGCATGGCTTACATACTGTACCGTACAGCCCCGGACAGTACGGAGCCGCGCTGCGAAACTAGTTTTTCGCCACACTCCCTTCTCACACGAAACCATCACGCTTTTCTCCGTTCGGGTATCGGGTCTTGCTGCCGTTGCTGTGCGTCGATCGATAAACAAACACCGCCAGATATTTTCGCCGCGTTAGGATCACCCGAAGGACAGCCGGAGGACGTGGACAAAATCTTGGCTTATCTTTGCCCCCCGGAGCCCGTGCTGGCGCCCATGTTTTAGCTGGAGTACGAATTATTTGTTTCCGTGCCAGCGCGCGGTGTATTCAATTTCTCTATCTGCTTTGGTGATATGTTGGGTGTGCTCTTAGTGGTACGTGGTGATTGCGTGGATGTGTTCACGATAGATGGGGTCCTGTGTGTAGTGCGTGTGCTCTGCATACTCCTGTTTGTTTGTCGGTGGCGGGGTGATCCGCTGGATTTTTCTTTGGTCTACTCCTCCTGTACTTTCCATATGATGAGTCTTGACAACTATAATACGACACCTCGGGGGGTTTGGTTGCCATTGTTCTTTGGTCGGCGACATCGGGGCAGCAAGTAGGCGAAAATATGTTGGTGTGCGCGCGCGGTGGCGATCGGACAGGTACAAAGGTAAGAAATATCTACATTTTTGAAGAAAACAAGGTGTTGCCTCTTCGTTCGTTGCGCCCTCTCTCTTCCTGTTACAGAGAAAGAACCTCTTATTTCGGCCTAGAAGCTCATTTCTTGTTTCCCCTCAACCCAGCGGCGACTATTCTACATCGAATAATTCTCAAGATTTCACCCCATGGGATTCGTTCTTGCTTTCAACTATGGTCTCGATTATTGTGACACTTGCAACATAGAACCCACCCAGGTTCTTACGCGGCGGCGCGTAATGCTGGTCGTTGGTGCCGATGACGGTGTGAAACGTACCATTTGGGAGGGCGTAGATGCTGCGCACTTTTCTCTCTCTCTTTTGGGTGAACAACAAAAGGACGATCTTCTTGTATCGATCGGCGTTTTTGTAGGTCGATCTCTACCAAGGCACTGCTGATGTTTTTCGTCACAAGGGACAAGAAAAAGCGACTCCGTTCCACCGTCCCGTTCCGTTTGTTTTCTCTCTACGCAACTATGTCACGCTTCCTACGTACTGTATCATCTAGGCTTAAATAGACTCCTATAAGCCCAGCACCCAGCCGGCTTCCCTCCATTCACTACTGTAAAGACTTTAACACATGAGATCCCGTTCGACTGTGGTCTTATTTCGAATGGGTAGTCTTTATGTGTTTGTATTTATGTTTCCTTATCTATCTGTGAACAAAGAGCCAGCCATTCATTTGGCGCACGTTGTCGTCTCACTGCTGTACATACATATGCAATAGAACACCACAAATAAATCCATGCCAACCACCACCTAACTATCTATTATCTACAATCAATGTACACATAATAATACATTGATCGATCGACTATTATTTTTATTTTTTTTCGTTCTGGTACATTTACATCCTGAAACATGCCTGCTGTCACGTCTTTTGTCCGTTTGCTTTTTTAATGTGAGTTGAAGCAGAGAATACAACGTGTGTAAGATCTGTATGTACGTGTAGTAGCAGTGGTTCTCTGCCCAAGTTTCACGCGTGACACGTTACTACGTACTACGTGCGTGCCACGCATGCATGATGCGCTTGTTGTTGGTTGGGTGCCCATCTAGATTCTCAGTGACATCAGTGGCAATACCGGCGGGCTGGAGCCAAACAGAAGTACGGCCGAAGTTGTGTCGCCGTGGTCAAACAAGCATGCACGAACGTTAAATTATTCAGCTCGTTGGGGGCCAGAACCAAAGCAGCAGCAGCGCGTCTGTCTGACTTGGGTGGGGCAAAAAACATAGCGAACGCGCCACACTACTCTCAGATGTTTTCTGAAATGTTCTTGGTGCCCTGTACATACGTTCCTATGATACGAAATTACGTCAACACGACGCAACACACGCCAAGCTAGGAAGAAGCAAGGAGGCGAGCCCCGGCGAAGAGGCCCGCCGAAGCTCTCTCCCGGCCCGTGAATAAAGACATGCATGCATGGGTGGCTGCATGACCACCCAATTTCAAGTATTTGGCGTCGTCACATATCTCCTTTTTTTTTTTTTTGCTTCTCCTTGTGCTGCTACTTTCTGTCAGCACATACACACATACACATCCGCCCGAGTCAAACAGCCAGGCAAGGCTCAAAGACACCCTCCTGGCGCTGCTCCGACGCGAGCCACAGGCGCGTACATCCGCTTCTACCACTCGGGAGCAGTCGGCAGGGAGATCTCCAGGTCGTTGGCCAGCGAAAGTGAGTGTGTTGAAGTTTTCTGGAAACGCGAGACGTTTTCGTGATCCCTGCGTGGAACAAAGACAGCAGCCGGGATGGTTGTAGCACTTGAGCACCGGCATGACCGGAACGAGCCAGATCTCGACGAGGACGCCTACTCCCGCAGCGGCGACGTGCCCGGCATGGACGTCGTGTCCGCTGGCTCCGTGACCTCCTTCGTGCGGAAGCTGTTCCAGATGGTCCAGGGAGAGTGCGACAGCATCGTGGGCTTCGTCGCGGGTGAGCGAGACGTTTGACCTTTTTTTTTGTTTTTGGATTCGTACAGCCGAAACTGCACACGCGAGTACGTCGCCCTAATTCTTTGGCTGTGGGCGGGGGTTGAAGCGCAGTGCGTTCCGTGGGCGCAGCCATGGTCGCAGGCACCTGGTCGAGGCTGCCACGGTGTGGGGGTGCAGGTCAGCAGCGCGCGAGACGTGTCTCCAGAGCTTGGGTCTCTTCTCGGTGATTGTTGACGTGCCTGTCTCGCATGATCGCGCTTCAAAAAAATGTTCTACGAAGAAACGTCGTTGGAACGAGACAGAGCGAGCGTACCAGCGAAATGTTCTGCACCTTCCTCGTGGCTGTCTGTCTCTCTCTCGCGCGCTCACCGACATCGAGAGACTTGCGCCGCGCTGCTTGGGTGCCACCCACCCCTACTGCAGCAGGTCCTCCCCATGGCCAGCCGCTGCGCTACTGCTGCTGCTGCTGCTGCTGCGCGCTGCTGCTGGCGGTTCTTCGCTGTTTTTTTATTTTTTGAACAGACGTCACCCCATCACAAGTTGAACCCCAGCAAACCAACCACGTCTCTTCGTGTCTGTCTCTCACGACCTGCGACCACGTACACGTACACGTTTGTTCATATTCTGCTAGTTGGCGCTTGGGGAGAGGGGTCGGGACGCGGGAAAGTAACCCACTGACATCCTCTCTCGAGGTGCTTTGCTGTCCCGCTGCTGCTGGCGTGTTGTGTGTGAATCGTGAGCATGATTTGTCTCTGTGTTGGTGCTGCTGGGAAGAGAGAGCCTTTGTTCTTCCTTCCTTTTTCTGTTCCGCCGAAAGAGCTTTGTGTGTTGGCTCCTTCAATTTGCATGATTTTTGTTGGTGGGGATCCATCTCGGGATCGAAGAATTTCCGAGAGAGATACATTTTGTTTTCGCTGCTGCTGCTGCTGCTGCTACTGCTGCCAAGACACCAACCACTGCCGTCCTTTGCCTGCACCCGCACCCTGCCTGTCTCAGATGGCACCGCGTTCGAAGTGAAGGACCCGAGACGGCTGGAGCAGGACATCCTCCCAAAGTACTTCCGACACTCTAGGTTCCAGAGCCTCGTGCGTCAGCTCAACTTCTACAGCTTCAAAAAGATCAGCAAGGTTCGTGGTTTACTGCATAATAGGACACGTGTTGCATACCTATCATACGGCCGGTGGTTGGGGTTGGAACAACTACACAGGATCGAAGATGCCAACCACAAGAGCAAGACAAGAGAGAGAGCCCGCTGCTGCGCCTCTTGTTCTGCAGCTGCACGCGTTTGACGCGCACAGCCCAATATTGGTGGTGCTCGCTCTTGTGGGTGTTGATCAGGGACGCGTGGTTCCCAGACGACTGCAACGCGCGCCCCAGAAAAGATAGAGATTTTTGTGTTTGATTCTTTGTGCGAGCAAGTCGACCGCCGAATTGAATCCACAGCAGCAGCAGCAGCGGCGGCGGCGGCGGCGGCGTACCCTCTTGGTGCGGTCGCCCCCGTGCCGTGCTCTCTCGACCGATGTATGGCTCCGGGCGGCTGCTGCTGCACTGCCGGATAAGAGATACTTGGTTCAACCCACGTGGGATTTCAGGTGGTATTTTGTTCTTCAATCCATTCTCTCTCAGGACCAGGGACCCAGGAAAGTGCCAGCGATTTCTGTAGAAAGTTTTCGTTGTTGAACCAAAAACATGGAAAACGGGTGGCTGGTGGGAGATGATAGTGCGTGGTTGAACATTCGGCGCATACAAAAGTGGGAAGCGAGTTCTCTCTCTTTCCACATTTTTCACAGAGGAGGGGGGCGGGTGCCAAACTGCCGCAACACTGCGACAGCAGCAGCAGCAGCAGCACCCCCGCCTCTTGTGGGGCAATCAATCAGTTTCCTCGAGGTGTGTTTTTTCCAAGTGGGCCACATAGTTTTTTTCCTGCGAAGAACGTGTTGTGCATATTCTCTTTCTCTCATATGGTGGCATTTGTGGTTGCTGCTGCTTTCAGCGCAGTACACAAGACCACCCCCCAAACAGCAGTACCGCCCTGACCACGAACTGACAATGGTTATTTGCTGCGTTGATTGCTTTAGACATTCATTTTGTGCACACACACACGAGATGCATCTCTTCCTACTAGCAACACAACGCGTACTGCTGTGCGTGTGCAAGCAGCATTTGCATCTGCCCAAGTGTGTAGAAGTACACGATTGTACAACGTTCCATGCATGCATACATTGCCGATCGAACACTGACGCTTAGATGTTGCACCACACATGAATTCTGTGCGAATTATCAGGAGAGAAGCGTGTGGATCTACAAGCATGCGTTCTTCCGCAGGGACGAGCCGGAGCTCTTGCACGCGCTCAAGCGCAAGACCAACCAGCACGGGGCGCCGGCTCGCGTGGGCGGTGGCGTCGCAGGGCTTGGGGTCGGCGACGGCGGCGCGGATGACATGATGGTGGTGGACAGAGCCGCCCCGATTGTCGGAGGAAGGTGTGATATAATTGTATATATTGTCTGCCTGCTGTTGGATCATGATTCTAGATACCAGCGTTTCACTCTTTCAAAGATTCGTAGCGATGGTTTGGCGTTCACTTGTACAAGCAGCAGCAGTGTGTGTTATTTGTCGGATCAGATATCTCCGCCCCGCTGGCGGGACGCTTTTTTTTTTTTGTCTTCACTTCAAATCAGTGCTCACAGCACGAGTGCCGTTTACTCCAACCCGTGGTCACACAGAAGAGCCCCTCTCTACCCTCCCCTCCTGCGGTGCTTTGCCTTCGATTTTTAATGCGAGAAGAGTTCAGCACTCTCTTCCCTCTGTGTACACACGAACTAGCGCTATGCACTAAATAGGCCAGAAGCGGAAGCGAGAGAAAAACTCACTTTGCAAGAAAAGCTCGCTTACGCCGGGATTCGGACCCCTGACGGACCCCTGACCTGACCCTATAAAATAGAAGGTTTCGAGGATATACCAACTAGACCACCGGGGCGACCGGGTACGGTTTGCGTGCGTTCGAATTATGGTTAAGTAATTTTTTATTTTCTGCGGGAGCAATTGGCGGGAGTGGAGATGAAACCTATGGAAACATCTGGCGCATCGTGGAAATGTCACATTTCAGCTCGTCCTCGTGAGCGTGCTAATACTGCTGCTCCGTACGCGGCAATTTTTTATTTTGCTCGGTGACGTATGCATATCGATTTATCAGTTTGAAATGTTGAAGTTGGGGGCGGGGACGCATCTGACGCTATGAATCCATTGCTAATCTGTCTCAGACTCTTTTCTATGATAGAGATGGTTTCGTTGTGTCATATTAAGAAAAAAAAAAAAATGTGCGAACAGCAGCTCAGCTTCCTTGTCCTCATGAAACATGATGCTCAGCACTGATGAAAGTGTCGGTTTGCACGAGTCCTTTTTTGTATTGAAAATGCAAGGAGCTTTGCGTCTACCTGAGGAACTACTGTAAAGTCCTGCCGTAGATTCGGTAAGATGCCAGTGATGAGTCGCTCGTTTTCCGCAAGTTTAGTGTCTCTGTCCACCCTCTACCACTAATTCGTTCTTCATTCTGTTGCCCTGAGAGATACTGAGTCATTATGCACACTCGGTGCTGTGCTGTCGCGTGTGTCATTTGTTGACACAGTGGGTTACGTGCGTCAAGTTGTCGCCCTACCTTGAGAACCTGGGAGGCAAGAAATTCAGGCTGAACAAAAATCAACACTCACTGCTGTGTGCTGCTCGGGAAATCGAAAACGAACTTTCGCTGACGCTATGGATTCATTGCTAACCTATCTTAAGACTCTTTCTTAGATAGAGATGGATTCGTTGGGTCATACTGAGAAAAAGTGCTTGAAAGTATTACCAGAACTGGGCCAAAAGAACAGGTGCTCAGTCAAGAAAAGTACACTAAAACCTATATATTCGCTGTTCGGGTACCCCGTATGGAGGAAAAAGAAACAAGCCTCGACCGAAAGAAAAGGTAACTGTTCAATACGCAATGGTTCATGTCCAACTGTCCTGTCCTACTGCTGCTTGTTATATTTATTTACCACACTTTTCCTTTTTACGTCCGTCCGCGTCTGAACTTGCTGCTATCCTCTCCGCGCATTTAGTCTCTCTCGCGACCCACTCGACAGCAACAAGGCGAGATCCCGCGGCCTCAGCTTTCTGCCCCCCCGCCACGCGGACGGCGGCGTCAGCGCCTTCCGGCCCCCTCACCACGACTACCACCACAGCCCTTCGTTCAGCAACCAACACCAAGAGCACCACCAGCACCCCCCCCACTACCCTCACCACCGCAGCAGCAACGGCGACCGTCACTCCAGCAGAAGCAGCAGGCCACCGCACCACCCGCACCCCGCTCACCGCAAGAACGGCAGCAGCGGCAGCGGCAGGGTGTACCACGCTTCCTCGTCCCGGGGCGCCGGCGGCGGGCCGTCCACGGGCGGCGCGGCCGTCCCGTCCTACGGGGGACAGGGGCCTTCTTCCCGTGGCGGAGCCCCCGGCTTCGCGTGGGCGGGAGCGGGTGGTCGTCCGGTCTCTTCTAGCGGTGGTCCTGGCGTAGAGTACGATCGCCGCAGCGGCGGCGTCGACGGCGGCAACGGCATGCGCGCGACCAAGGCGGGGGGGCACCGCGGATTCGACGACGGTCGGTCCCCGTCGTCGTCGTCATCGTCCCAGGCCTACAGTCGGCAGGGCCCCGCGATAGGCGACGACAGGGGCAGCGCGGTCGGCCGGCAACGCGGCGGCGGCGGCGGCAACGGGAGGCCCGCTGCTGCTGCTGCTGCTGCTGGCGGTGGTGCCGGTGGCGGCGGTGTCACGGACAAGGACCACGCGTTGGCCCTGTTTGGCCTCTCGGCGCTCTGCCAGGTGGCCTCGGCGACGGAGGCTCCCGCCGCCCACGACAACGAGTCGATCGGGCAGATGGACGAGGACGGCGGTGGCGGTAGCGGCGGCGGTGGCCGCGGCTCCCGGCGTTTGTCCGACGTCGTAGATCGACAGCCACAAAAGCGCCACCGGGGGGTAGGCCCGGACGCGGACGCGGGTAGCCGGCGAGGGTGGGCGGTGCAGGAGTCATCGGGCGACGACGAGAGGGAAGAGGAGGAGGAGGAGGAGGACGGTGTCACGAGTGCCGAGCGCGACGACTCTAGCTTGTCGAACCACCGCCGCAGCCCCAGCAACAGCAGCTGCGTCAGCAGCAGCAGCAGCAGCAGCAACAGCCTGGTGAGCAGCGCTGACAGCTCCGACGGCGGTTTTGAACGCCACCACTACGGTAGCACTGACAACGGCGTCTTCGTGCAGCCGCCGCCGCCGACGACGACGACAACGACGACCGACGCTAAGAAAACAGTCCCTCGGCAGCAGCAGCAGCAACGGACTAGCGGCAGCGGAGGCGTTTTCTGCCCGACGTGGGACTGGGGACGCGCCGCGTGCGAGCCGGCCATCAGGCTGCCGGGCTCCTTCGTAGACCGTCGTTTCGAGGAGGTGGACCAGCAGGTGGTAAAGGACGATGACGATAACGACGACGACGAGTCGAGCAGGGCCGAGGAGGAAGAAAGAGACCAGGGCGAGAGCAGACAGGAGTTCGCGCAGAAATCGGACGACGAAGGACCTGAGGCCAGGCCCGACACTGGCAGTGCAGCACACCGCAGAGGGGAGGCGATGGCGATAACGGACGAGGCAAGTCCTCATGTACTGCTGTCATTTTTTTTTTTTTTGCGATTTTTGTTTCGCGTGTCGTCGCAAGGCCGAGCAAGGTCCCGGCGTTTGATTGCGTTTAGGATCAGCAATCCGAGCAACCAGAAATGCACAAGAGACGTAGGTGCGTCCATCCCGTTGTTTTCGCGTGCGTCAACGCAGAGAGAGCCGAGAGCGCGAGGAACGAAGGTGCACAGCGAAGGCAAATTCGGCACCACGCTAACACTCTTCATCCCCACACACCAGCTTGCAAAAATAACCCAATCCCCCCCCCCCCCCCTTCCCTTTTCGGCCTGTCTTGATACAAACCAGCAGGTTTCGGTGTCCCTCGCGGGGAGCGACGAGCCCCGGCCAACCCCTACCGCCGCCGTCCCACCGCGGCCGCGAGACGCGCAGGCGGACATGAAAGCGGAAGCCGACGTCGGCCTCGACGGCATCGGCGCGTTCTTCTCGCACTGCTGCTCCGCCGCCGCTTCCGGCAACGACACCACGAGGGCGTCGGAGTCGGTGTTCCTCGCCACCGTGGCCAACAGCGGGGACGGCGGGCTGCGCGAGATGGCGGTGTTCTGCGCCGGCCCGGCCGGCAAGGCTCCCGACGCCGCTTCCCCGGCGTACCTCGCCCGGGAGGTGTCCCTCTTCCTCCAGAGCGAGGAAGCCGTCGCGGAGGACCTGCGCGTGTACGCGGAGGCCCTCGACCCCGCCGCCGTGGACGTTGTGGTGGAGGGGAGCCTGGGGAGCAGCAGCAATCCGGTGCCGGTAACGCAGCCGTTGTCGCCGGACGGCGCGAAACTTCTGCGCGTTTTCTGCCGGTTCGCGGCGTGCCGGCTCGGACGCGCGCTCGAGGTGGCGTCGCTGGTGGCGGAGTCGGCGGAAGAAGCCGCCGCTGGCGGCGGCGGCGGCGGCGGCGACAAGGCCGCGGAGCAGCAGGGGCTGCTGCTGCAGCGGCACGGCGCCTTCGCGCGGCGGGTTGCGCCGCAGCTGGACTCGTGCCGGTGGAAGTGGTGGCGCGCTGCCGTTCGCTTCAGCTGAGGGAGATAGGCATCGATCGTGGGTTTTCTTGGGTCTTTGGGCGATAGGGGTAAGGGTCGAAGTCTCGTCGAGAGCCTCGTGCCCGCCCGTGGCCCCGCTCTTGGATCACTGCTCGAAAAGAAAACAAGGCCGCAGTCTGTTGAGATGTTCTCGCTCGTACCCCAGAAGACGAAAGGAGGGGCTTGGATAAGAAGGGGGAGGTCACATAACACAATTTTAGAGGGTAGACAAAGCTATTTTTTTGCACGTCGCCTGTGGGTGCTACGCCGGGCGATATACATGTGGGGTGGAACAGGCGCCATTGATTGCTGCTGCTTTTCAAAATATATTGTCCGCATTTCGTGTGTTGTACTGTTTTTTTCTCATGGAAGGGAAATCTATGCGTGCTCTGACGTTTTTTTGGTCGGAAGATTGTCGCCATTTTTGAATAAAGAAAAGGGGCGGAAATGTCAAGAGGGGGCGAAAGAGAGAGACAGAGAGAGACAGTCAAACATGAGGCTACAGCGGTGGATTTCGCAGCACTCCTGCACACCGCTGGGTGATGTTCTACAATTCTATGGGCGGAGCGCGGAGCGCAGTGCGCCGCACGATATAGACACAAACGGCATGTAGCATAGACACAAGCAAGGAAACGTCTTAACGCGGTTGGGTTTGATATGGGCGTCTGGGCCTGAAGGGTTTGGAGGGTCTTGCTTGGCATGTGCCGTCGGTTGAAAATTTTCTGTTTCCTTTCACGGGGGGGTTGGTTCGTTTGTGTTTAGAAAGAAACAAAGTCATTTGTACCTTTGAGCTTGGCACAGCCTCAGCGAAAGAGGGCTGGCTGTCTTAGAGAGTGTGAGCTGCCCACCCACGCAGCAATAAATTAAACGGCCTTCAACGACTGCTGCGCCAGCCACACGTAACGATTTTCTCGATTTTCTGTTTTCTTTTTTCCTCCTTTTGGTGTCCCATCGGTGGACACGCCTGCAGCCCAGGTCTGCGTTGAAAGTACATATTCCTTGTGTTTCGGGTTGTAACAGAGAGGGGAACGCGGATTGTACGAGAAGGGTGACGACGGTAGCACGCTAGAGGGCC